GGATAACAAATTAAAATTTTAAGAATACAAAATAAATATCTTATGTAGGTAATTTAGTAATGAAAAATAAAAGTTTGTATTCTGACACTAAAAGAGAAAGAAAATTTAATTGCACGTGATATAAAACATAATTATAAGAAAACATAATAGATTTAATATAATAATTTAAAAACTTATGTATTAATAATTTAGACTAATTCAAAGTTATAACTTAAAATGAAATGTGGTATTTTGATTATATAATAAAATATTAATAAAAAAACTAATTAAAATTTCATAATAGATAAAAAGGAAAATAGAGATAGTGTGAGAATATTTATGGTTTGAATTAATTTAAGGATAAATATATTAAATAATTAAATAATACTCAAAAATATTATTGATAGATTTAAATGACGAAAGAACTCTAAGTAAGAGGATAAAAGTATTAAAATACATTAAATTTTAGGAATAAAAAATTTATATTTATATATGATTATCAAAAGTGTAATAAGCAAGATATTAAATCATTTGGTACGCTAATAAAAGATCACATGAAAATATAACAATATTAAGTAATGAATAATGCAGCAATTATAAGCAAAGACTAGATAAAAAACAATTCGGTGAAAATGTAGAAGGATAGGATTTATTCGACTTTGAGGTAAAAACATAAAGTGGTAATAATTTTTTTTAAAATAATTTGTTCAAACAAGACATATTACAACGTGATATGTTTAGTATTCTTTAATATTGATCACAAAATAAAATATAAGTACTAAGATCAAGGGGTTGGTTTGCTACAGATATAAAAAAAAGAAAACATGTTATCCGGTACGAAATATGAGAAATAGTTTCATGTCCTTCTTTTTAACTTATATCTAATAATTATATGTAATTTTTATCTAGAAGATTTAAATTTTAACATAATTTGCATAATCCAATCAACTCAAATTATAATTTGGTATTTGTCTGCGCGCGGATATAAATTTATACTATATTAAAAGCACGAAGACCCTTAGCGAATTGTCGTTCGCTTTTTTTACCCTTTAGAAATAGATTTCACACTGGATAAAACTGTAAAATAAAAAAAAATTCCTAATATTTAGGAGTTCTAAATATCATCTCCTAATATGGATACAAAATATTAAGGCAGTAAAAGAATACAAAAAAATAGGAGGAAAGTTTTTCTTGATTTCTGTAACGATCCGGCCGGTCGTTTTGAGTATTATAGCCTCGTTCTCCCGTTTACTGCTCAATTTATGCTCTATAGTTATTTTATGACTTACCAGGTTAGTTGGTTCGGGTCCGGCAGGGATTCTGAGTGAAATGAGACACTTAGTCTCATAATTGAAAATTTAAGTTAGAAAAGTAGACCGGATATGGACCTATGTGTAAACGACCTCGGATTTGAATTTATATGATTTCAATAGCTCCGTATGGTGATTTTGGATTTAGGAGCGTATCCGAAAAATTATTTGGAGGTCCGTGGTGGAATTAGGCTTGAAATGCCGAAAGTTTAATTTTTGAAAAGTTTGACCGGGGGTTGACTTTTTTGATATCGGGGTCAAAATCCGATTCTGAAAATTGAAATACCTCTGTTATGTCATTTATGACTTGTGTGCAAAATTTGAGGTCAATCGGACGTGATTTGATAGGTTCCGGAATCGTTTGTAGAAATTAGAAATTTCAAAGTTCATTAGGCTTGAATTGGGGTGTAATTCATGGTTTTAGCGTTGTTTTAGGTAAATTGGGGGTTCGACTAAGTTCGTATGATGTTTTAGGACTTGTTGGTATATTCGGTTGAGGTCCCGAGGAGCTCGGGTGAGTTTTGGATGGTTAACGGATGATTTGTGGCCTTGGTGAGATTGCTGATATCTGTTGCTGTATTTTTCGAATTTTCTCTTTCGCGTTCACGAGTGGGCCCTCGCGTTTGCGAAGAGAAATTTCAGGCAGGCAGGATTTTGCTCTTCGCGTTCGCGAGGGGGTCTCGCGTTCGCGAAGAGGAGCTGGGTTATGCATCGCGTTCGCGTTTGGGGTATCATGTTCGCGAAGGGAAAAATAGTGGGCATGGGTTTTTCCCTTCGCGTTCGCGAAGAAGGGCTCCGTAAAGCATCGCGTTCGTGAAGAGCAAATGTTGGACAGCACATTTTGTGCTTCGCGAACGCGAGGGACCTGTCGCGTTCGCGAAGAAGAGAGGTCTGAACAGAAAGTTTAAGTTCTGAAAATAGGATTTTCAGTTTTTGACGGATTGGAGCTCGGGAAGGGGCTATTTTCGGGAGTTTTTCAAGGAAAACAACGGGGTAAGTATTTTTAAGTCAATATTGGTTAAATTACCCGAATCCATGGTTGTTTTTATCATATAATTGGTGAATTAAGTTGGAAAAGTTAGAAAACACTCTTAGTTTAAATTGAAGAATTGAGGGTCGGATTTTGGTAAAATTGGTATGGTTAGACTCGTGGTTGAATGGGCTTCCGTAATTTATAACTTTTGTCGAGTTCCGAGACGTGGGCCCCACGGGCAATTTTTGAGCTAATTTTCGGATTTTTCTGGAAAATTATTATTTTCGTATGGAATTAATTTCAATAAATTTTATTGACTGAAACGAATTATTTATGGCTAGATTCGAGGCATTTGGAGACCAATTCACGAGGAAAGGACATTGCAGAATAAGAATTTCACGGCTTGAGGTAAGTAACAGTTTTAAATCTGGTCCCGAGGGTATGAAACCCCAGAATTTTGTGTCATGTGATTATTTTGGAGGTGACGCACATGCTAGGTAACGGACGTGTGAGCGTGCACCGAGGGGATTGTGACTTGGTCCGCCCCGTGAAACTGTAAAGTTGAATAATTTATTGTTAGCTATATGCTCTCTATGTGTTGAAGAAATTTGACTATAAATCATGTTAGAAATCATGCTTAGGCTATGTGATAGTACTGTTGGGACCCACCGAGGTCGCGTACTTGTTTAATTATTTGCTAATTGTTGTCTTGTACCCAGTCATAATTTTTCTTGCGTATTATGCCTCAGTCTTTTCTGGATATTTATTGATACGCTATGTTATCTTTGTTTGGGCTGATCTTTGTGATTTCTGAGAGCCCGAGAGACTAGAGAGGTTGGGGACTGAGTAAGGCCGAGGGCCTGTCGGTGAGGTAAGGATATTATGGCACGTAAGTTGTCCGTGCAGATTAAGGCACTTGGGCTGTAGGAGCCCCTCCGGAGTCTGTACACCCCTAGTGAGCGTGGATACCCATTGAGTGTGAGTGCTGAGGGTTGAGAGCCGAGTGATGAGTTGAGTGACTGTTGTCTGAGAGGTTGTACTTGCTTTGCATTTGTTGTTGCACTTGGTTGCTATATGTCATTGTTGTGAAATCTCTGAAAGATTTTCTATTCGGATTACATGAACTTGAACTGTATAAAATTGATTTGAGTTAAACTGCCGGATTTGAAAACATGTCTATTCTTTGCGGGAATTACTGAAAGTGAACTATAACTATGTAGCTCGTCATTATCTTCAATTTCTTAGTTATTATTGTTACTTGCTGAGTTGGTTATACTCATACTACCCCCTTGCACTTCGTGTGCAGATCCAGGTATTTTCCGACATAGCGGGTGTTGATCCTTTCGCGCGGTTGATTTTAAGGAGATTTTGAGGTAGCTGCCGTGTTTCGCAGACTTTGTCTCTCATTCTCTATCTCCTTGTTTACTGTATTTGGTCTCAGACTATTATAGACCGTATTTTTCAGACTTGTATTCATATTAGATGCTCATGTACTTAGTGACACCAGATTTTGAAAAGTGTTCGTGTCAGTATTTATGAGATTTTGTATTGTATTAAATTATTGTATTTTCAAACTTAAGAGAAATTGTGGTTTATCGAGATTATCGGCTTGCCTAGTATCGAGATAGGCGCCATCACGACAGGTTGGAATTTTTGGTCGTGACAGTTTCCAACAAGGAAACTTCACGATTTTGTTTAATATTTTTTGTTCCTTGTCATTGTTTAATCATAGAGACCAATTTTGCCTCTTTATTTTCCTTTCATATGATTTATTTGTTGTTTTTAAAATTTAAATCATAAGTACTTTTTAAGAAGTTTGGTTAAATTCGTTTATTCATACGACATTAGGTTTTGAAATAGTAATTGTTTTTGAAAAAAATAGTAATTATTAATTTGTGATAAAAAAATAATTACTGTAATTTAGTTTATAGAAAATACCTAAATTACCTCAATGCATATTCATGTTAAATAGATGAAAAAAGACTTTTATTTTTTGGTAAAAAAGAAACTAATATTATTACTAAGAAAGTTTATTACATAATATAAATTTACAAAATAGAAATTACTTACGAAATTTATCTTGTGGCTGATATAATTTTTTTTAATAATATGTCACTAATTCTATCACTGAATAAGATTAGTGATAAATTTTTGTTATTTGACTACATAATTTGTCCATCGCTAATTTTTTTTCTTTTTGTAGTTGACTCATCTAGAATACATGGTACCTCGACTATTATTTTGATACTAATTAATATAAAAGAAGGGGTTACATAACAGAACACTAAACTTTCAAAATTATCTTGATTGTTTTCATGCTTAGCTAGGCTATCTACTCCTTTTTTTTTGATTAAATAGGCTCAATATTTATCATTTTCAAGATCTTATATTTTAATTTTTTTTTCAAGGACTTATATTTTTATAATTTTATACGCATCAATAGAGCGTTACGTGCATCGCGCGTATCATAAAACTAGTACTAGTACATTGTAAAGGAAGGAGTATCGAATATAACCTAGACTCCAAGGGGTAAAAAGAGCAATTAGATGAACGATAGCAGGGCAAGTTAGTCATTAGAGAGAAACGGATATGGATAAGCTAGAAAAATGAGCTGGAGAAGGGGCAATGGGGTAAACTTACGCGGGTGGGACCCATGGATCTTTTTCCCACCATCCACCAAACATCTTTTGCAGATTTTTCATTAATTTAAAATATATCAGTAAAAACTATTTCGACAGAGGAAAAACAAAATCCTAAAATCTTTTTTCGGTTTCAGTCTACTATTTGCTTCTTCAGCGAATTCTGCTGTTACATGCCAAATACCAGCAAAACCATCTCTCTCTCTCTCTCTCTCTCTGTTAACCAATTCCTTCCTTGTTCTCTACTCTCTTTCTTCATATTTCCTCTTTGTTTTCAACGACAACACGGGTCCATTATTCATTGGAATATTCTATAATTCTCCCTATACTTTCTCTCTCTAGATCTTCCCACGTTGATTCCGTTTCCGCTGCACTAACCGGTGAGTTTCATCTCTTCCAAATTTCTCTGTATTTGCATTTCCTTTCATGAGTATATGATATATCATAGGCTTTTCTCTGTGGCTCGAGAATCTTCTTTTGTCGTTACGGTTAGCAAATTTTGAGCGAATTCTATTACATTTTGTATTTATCTCTTCGAGCTCATTTTTCGTCTCTTTTTTTCCTGTTGCTGATTTACATTAGTGGAGTGCCGATTATACTAATCTTGGACTCGAAGTTGCTTTGTTTGCTTTTTTCTTAAGTTAAAAAGTGCTGTTTGATTTGTCTTCAGACAACAGCTATACAATTTTCCTACATTTTCTCTAGCGGTTTGAATTTGAACCATCACATTCATGTGTATTTGTGAATATGTAGTTACACACGCTCTATACTTGGACCTTATGATGATTTGATTTGATTGATTCTCCATTTAATCTTTTTTCTTAATGATAACTTAAAAAAAAAAATCAAATTTGATCATGAAATGGCGATTTTCTATTTATAGCGCACAAATGTTACTAAAGAATCATAATAACATCAACGGAATACTGAATACCTAATTGCTTATTACATTCACGAGTGTTATTGACAAAAAGATCATATCAAGGGGAGAGAGCATTTGGTGTATAAAAGAGCAGCCTAACCATATCACCTCTCTTGTTTCTTTTATCTTTTCTGTCATCTTCTGTCTCACCGTGTGTGTAACGGACAACTAAGAAAAGTTCTTTTTGCTTCTCTTTTACATTTTTAATCCCGCAGTTTTGATCCATTTAAATGATTGAAGGTAGCATGATTTTTTATGCTCTATTGTTTTTTTTTCCTGAAACTTTTTGACAGATATGCAAGGAATTGACAGAAAATAGTGGCTGTTTTTAGATGATAACAACTGCTTGCAGCTTGTGAAGGCTGCATTTAAGCATGTTGATAAGTTTTCAGTTCCTTTTCAATTACTCTTTCAATGAGACGTGGATTTTTTACAATATACTGTATCATATGCCACATATAAAGCCTGATGTATGTCAACAACAACATGAAGAGCACTGTTTTTACATTGTAGAAACCTCTATCAAGAGGTGAGAAGTCCGTTGAGCAAGAGTTGGTCTGTCACTCATTTGTAAATATAAAGATGGAAAAGTAAGGTCTTTGTTTGGATGTCGATTAGATACTTAAATGTTGTTTCAACCTTGTGATTTATCCATTTCTTATGTGCGACTTTATAATCCCAGATATAGAATATTGAAGGAGCTTGGAGATGGAACCTGCGGAAATGTATATAAGGCTCTTAATATGGAAACATATGAGATTGTAAGTGATTCTTTACTTTACTAAAATTTAGTGTTTCATTTATCCATGCATCCGAATCATTTTTTTTATTTTTTATTTTTTAATTTCCTCTGTTCAAAGAGGAAAACACTACTATTCTTTCAGAAACAGTTCCTCTGAATAGGATGTTTCAAACATTTTTAAATATTTGTTTCTTAATATGTAAGACAAGAGTGGGTTGCTCTAGTGGTGAGCACCCTTCACTTCCAACCAAGAGGTTGTGAGTTTGAGTCACCCCAAGAGCAAGGTGGGGAGTTCTTGGAGGGAGGAAGCCGAGGATCTATCGGAAACAACCTCTCTACCCCAGGGTAGGGGTAAGGTCTGCGTATACACTACCCTCTCCAGACCCCACTAGTGGGATTATACTGGGTTGTTGTTGTTGTTGTTGTTTCTTAATATGTACTTGTCAAATAAAAGAATTAAGAATCAATATTTAGATTAGACACTTATATGTAGATGGTTGATCCCTTACTTTGAATCCCACCATTCTTTCTTGTGATGTAGGGAGTAGTTGATGTAAGAGCATGTTCCAGGATTTTGTTCTAACAAATTTAGGCCTAACTGTGAAGCTTGAGCTTTGAGAGAAGTTGTTGTTTGTGTGCCTTCAACTAGTTTTGGATTGAGTGTAGTAGTAATAGTTATTCTGTCTGTGCATGTTTGGGAGTTGTGTGCTTGAATTAATGAGAACCCCTTAGTTTAAGCGCTAGCGCTTAACATTTCCAAGACTTGAGAAGTAAAGGTAGAACTAACTTTGCTCCTTGTCCTTGGTTTCCTTTATAATATATTTACATGGGTGCATCCCATGCAACAGTAATTACACATGGAAAATCCTAGATTGCCTAGCTTTGGCTAGTACATTTTGGGAGTTGATGGGCATGTTAGGTTCAAACCACCTGATTAAAAAATGTTACGTTAAAACCGGCATGTAACAATTAGCAAGACTCATGTGAAAGCTTCTTGCCTCAGATTATGTCTAATGAAGCATGATGCATTAGGATTTTTTCAACTTCCTTTTCTTCCATTGGATGAAATGTTAAGTGGGAGGTCATGTTCCTTGTTTCATGCTAAGTTGCTCGAACTCTTCACTTTTGATGCGACACCCGTGTCGACACAACGTGGGTGTAGGTGTGGGATCCGTATCGGATCTTGTCAACTGATTTTAGGACTTTGACCAAAATCGATGGAGAAATTCGGGACATGCACATTGATTTTTGAAATCAAAACAAAAGCTAGGGTATCATTGAAGAAAATGGAATACCTTTTATATAGAAATTTCTATGTCAGTCCTTTTCCTTTTATCTTCTTCTCAAATTCTCCTCTTGATTAATATTTTCTCCTTCTCGGAATACCTTGTAAGTTTTCCTCCTAATGTCTCATAATTTAGACATATTTTTATAACTCTATTTTAGGGAATTAATTTTAGCCGAAATCCCACTCATATTCATACTTGGATCCGTATTCCTGAATTTTAAAATTTAGATGATGAAGGATCCAACCTCTAGATCCACACCCGTATCGGACACCCGCACCGAAATCCGAGCAACTTAGGTTTCATGTCTACGATGATGAGATGTTGCTCTATTGTCTTCACCTTTTGGAATGAGCAAGTGTTTTCTCTCCACTAATTTTGTCTCTGCTTCCCCTACTTCTGATGGAGTTATGTCTAGTTGTTTACAGGTATACTATTTCCCAATATGGATATCTATATACTTGGAATTCCATAGGATGTTATTTCTTATCCAAGAATGCAGCTTAGCTAGATTAACTAATGTTTTGCAGGTTGCGGTCAAGAAAATGAAGAGGAAGTTCTATTTTTGGGAAGAATGCATTAATCTACGTGAAGTAAAAGTGGGTGGCTTTGTTCTTAACACTTAATTGACTAGAAACATCGACAAAAGACTGTCAACTCACAAGGCTTAATACTGTTAGAGTTGCTTACGTGTATTAACTTGGTCTCACTGACTTTCTAGTGTTTCTCTCTGCAGTCCCTTCGGAAATTGAATCATCCTAACATAATCAAGCTGAAGGAGATTGTGATGGAAAACAATGAGCTTTTCTTCATATTTGAATACATGGTAGCATTTGAGACTTTTAGCTATATTTTCTATTTTATTAGCTTTTTCCTCTTTGTCTGTGCAGTAAAATCTCTAAATACTTGTGAATGCAACAATTTCAATTAACATAGGTTGCATTTATGTCACTCTAGAAATTAGGTGGCTTTTAGCTTCAGAATCTTGAAATATTATGTTAACCTCTATAGCATCTCCCTTTTACCTGTATCTAGGAATGTAATCTTTACCAATCAATGAAAGAACGACAAAGACCCTTCTTAGAGGAGGAGATCCGGGGATTTATGTTGCAGGTGCTGCAAGGACTTGCTCACATGCATAAAAATGGTTATTTCCATCGGGACTTGAAACCTGGTATTGAGCTATCAAATGATTATCTGTATTTCATGCAGCTTACGGATATTTTTCTTTGCGGCAGTGTGAACCTTAATTAGTAAACTTTGTTCTGTCTCAGAGAATTTATTGGTGACAAATGACATAATTAAAATTGCTGACATGGGATTGGCTAGAGAACTGTCATCAATGCCACCTTTCACTGATTATGTTTCAACTCGTTGGTGAGTTATCTCCTCTACTCTCAGTGCATTATTCCTCTTCATGTGCTACTAAATATTTTGCCTCTGATGGGATGGGTGTTTATATGTTTAAAAGGTATCGAGCACCAGAGATCTTGTTGCAATCTTCTTCATACACACCTGCCATTGGTATGCACTGTCCACTCACTGTTACTATTCCAGAAGCTTCTTGAGTAATGCACTGGGTTTTTATTTGATACTAGCCAGATACTGTATTTTTAGAAGCTAAAATTTGATTTTTTCAGATATTGCCTTGGATCATTGTGCTCTGGTTACGTTCTTGATCTTGAGTATTATTTATCAAGAGCAAAATGTTTACAATCTTGAATATTATTGTCGGTAGCTTTATATTTGGCCTTATTGAATTTAATTCTCAGTACATGACTGGGCATAAATTCGTTTGTGAAGTTTTATACTGGAACAAGATAAAGGCAACCGGTGAGTTTGATGGGAATAATATTTTGTTAGCTGTCATGGCTCTTAAAAAGGTTAAATAAGCTTTAGTCAGTTGGAAGGTTATATGAAGATAAATAGGACAATTCCAATAATTTCCTTGAACTAATTTCAAAATGCCTGACCCGAATACATTAATGTTATGATTGAAAGTGTTAGCTTCTTTGGATAATAAAAGCTGGAAGGAACAAATTTTCCGCTTCTTTTGATATAGTAAAACCTTGTCCTAGTACAACCTTATTGCCTCCATCCCATTTTTTGTGGTCTTAGTTTGATTGGCACATAGAATAAGAGTATAACTAAAAAATTGCACAGGCATCCAAAACCAATGATTCAGGTAGTTTGTAGATAGTTGAGTTGGTGTTCGAGAGTTTGAACTTGATGTAGTTTTGCAATTACTTTTGGTATATACCCTTTGTTCTGCAATCTGTTTCTTGCCTCATTTTAATAAGGTCTACAATTGGCAGAAATAACCAGTCAATTGTTATTATTGGTTGCTTCTTTGAATAGTTCCTTGATGTTTTCTTGCTTATATACCGTTATTCTTTATTATTGGTGTTGTGTAACATATGTAAACAACCAACACAGATATGTGGGCAGTTGGTGCAATACTTGCTGAACTTTTCACTTTGTGCCCAATTTTCCCTGGTGAAAGGTGATTTCATGGCCCATAATTAGTTACGTGAAAATGATGTGCTACATTCTTTCTTTTGGAGCTTAGACTTCTTTATACCTCATATAGTTAGAATGCTTGTTGCTTTCGTGAAAATTTAAAGAGATACTGATATATCTTGAAGTACTCTCATAGTCAATTACCCAGAATTATTTTGATGTTGCAAGATTCTTTTCTGCTAGTAAATTGAAGCTTGATTTATTTGAATATTAAGTCAAATTATTTGGAGAACTGTTAATTTTGAGCTTTCTAATATTCTTTTCCCATGGTCAGTGAAGCTGATCAATTGTATAAGATATGCTACATTCTTGGACCACCAGATTGGACTATCTTCCCAGAAGTGAGAGGTGCTTCACGATTGGTTGATATAAGTAATTTAAACGTAAGTCTAGCTTGAACCTATTGCAAGTTTCCTGCCATTTTCATGTGATCTCTCTTAGGGCCAGGGATAGGAGATAATTAATTCCGGGATTAAATTTGAGATAAGTTTATTCCACGTTTGGTTGGGATAAAATTGTGGTATAACTAATCCCGGGATGGTAGTGTTTTTTATCCCCATGAGAGGGTGGAATAACTAATTCCGGGATAACTAATCCTGGGATAATTAATCATGGGATAACTTGTTTCCCAACCAAACGACCCCTTACTGATATGTGCATGCGCATGCTGACATGTGCACTAACACATTGAGTTCTTTCCTTCTGTTATTATCCTTTCTTTTTGGCAGGTTTCACCAGTCAATCTGTCTGATGTCATTCCAAATGCAAGTTTGGAAGCTATTGATTTGATCAAGGTTGTTATTTGCAATCTCTACCAAATTGCCATTTTTCTCATGAAATAGAAAATACTTTAACAATTTATGCCTTCATATCATAGCAACTCTGTTCATGGGACCCTTTAAGGAGGCCAACTGCTGAACAATGCTTGCAGCACCCTTTTTTCCATGTAAGATATTTCTCTTATTTGTCATTTGCTTACTCTAATTAGAATTTTTTAGTGGCATGATTGGCATCTTTCCGTAATGGTTGAATAAGTTGCTGCTTGCTAATAAATTAGGTTGGTAAGTGGATACTTGAGCCGCTAGAGGATCCGCTGCAGCTTAAGTTAAGCAATGGTGGTAAGAACTCACAAAACAATTTTAGCCTTAGTGTTATCTTTAACAAGTCTGTGAAGCTAACCTCTGTTTCTGCAGGACCTAAGCCAAATCTTGAGTTGAACCTCTGGGACTTTGGGAGACAAAAAGATGACTATTTTCTTGGTTTAACTTTGGCAATTAACCCAAGTCCTCCTAGTTTGGGTATGTATTTTATATTTTTCATTATTCCTGTTACTTGCAGGGCAATATGCTTTCCATTTTCTTTTTCATGATACCTTTTGCAGCCATGAAATATAAATTCGCAACAGTCTCATGTCTTTGCTGTGATGCACATCTGCCTGTGACTCAATCTGTTGCAAAAACTGCATTTACATGTCTGCCTAAGAGTCTCTTTTTTAACAAAAATTGCAGTTTGGTTGATGTTAATCCTGGATCTCATCATAACTGGTGCATTCTTCCCTGTTGTCTCTCATAAGTGATGCCTGCACCACCATACTCCCCTAAAAGAAAAATCAACGAAAAATATTTCCCAGTAAAAAGAGTTATACAAAAAAAAAATCCTTAAAGAAATAAACTATCATTGTCATTAGAAATAACTTTTGTTTCAAGTGACAGAGAGATTATTTTTGTTTCAAGTAGGAAGTGATTGTCCCGTTTAGTTTCTATCTTGAATTTAAACTTCAAGTTTTTTACTTTTCTATTTTCTCTTTTTAGTTGCGCCTTTCTAAAACTATTTACCTTGATCATGTTATATAGATTTATTTCCTGTGGAAATGACAAGTAGAAGTCGAGGCACAGGAACGGTGAGTTGTATTGTGTTTTCGTTTCTCAGTAGCTTTACTCACTGTTTTTAGGGTTTTCTTTCATGATGCTCCTGATCACATAGCAGTTACATTGGCCTGAATAATTTTCTGGTGACAAATGGCAGGATATGTTCTGTTCTGATTTTCAGGGTCACTCACAGCAATCAGGTAGGTTGTGTACATCTCTTGATATCTTTAATACCTTATTGTGTTGACCATTGTAGAAATTTATGGCACTTGTCCTCACTGCATATTACCCCATCGGGACATCTTTGGGTTCTGTCCTTTAAGCATTTAGACCTTCATATTCAATGTTATCCAGTTAAGTCATTGCTGATGCCTTTTTTTTTAACAGTTTTTTGGTCATTGCTTCCTCCTGATCACCATCATACCTCTGTGCCAGTGGAGTCCTCATTCAGGTCAGTTATTATTCTTCTAATTAAACTTCGGTTGGCTGTTTAATAATGTACTATATATGGAGTATGGCGAAGGAATACATCTTCCTTCTCTTTACAAATTTCTACACTACTAAGGTTTCCAACAACAATATCCAGTATATTCCCCGTGTGTGGGGTCTGGGGAGGATAATGTGTACGCAGACCTTACCGCTACCTTGTGGAGGTAGAGAAGTTGTTTCCGGTAAACCTTTGGCTCAAGAAAAGCAATACTCGGCAGGTTGAAAAAGAGAAACAATAGTGAAGAAGCCATGTTGAAAACGATGAAGACAAGAATAATAGCAACAACAAAATAACAGGGCAATGAGAAAACCGACACAACGGAAACAACATGTAGTAATAAAAATCGAAGGTTAAGATAATACGATAATGATAATAATCATACACATGATATGAAAAACACAGAACATATACGGTAATCCCAAACTCGACTACCTACTAACTTTCTACCCTAATCCTCGATCTCCATATTGTCCTATCTAGGATCATGTCCTCGATAAACTGGAGGTGTGCCATATCCTGTCTAATCACTTCTCCCTAATACTTTTTCGGCCTACCTCAATCTCTCCTTAGACCCACAATAGCCAACTTCTTACACCTGCTCACTGGGTCATCTGTGCATCTCCTCATCACATGCCCGAACCATCTCAACTTCGCTTCCCTCATCTTGTCAACCACGGAAGTCGCTCCTACCTTGTCCCGAATATCTTCGTTCTAAATCTTATCTCTCTTAATATGTCCACAAATCCATCTCAACATCCTCATTTTCGCTACTCTCATCTTCTGAGCGTGAGAAATTTTGACTGGCCAACACTTCGCACCATACAACATGGCTGGTCTAACAACATCTCTATAGAACTTACCTTCAAGTGTTAGTGGCACCTTCTTATTACAAAATATCGGATACGAGCTTCCATTTTATCCACCTCTCTCTCCAATACGATGTGTGACATCGTCGTTAATCTCCCCGTTTCTTTGGATTATAGACCCTAGATACTTGAAACTTCCTTTCTTGGGGATGACTTGTGCACCAATCCTTACTTCTACGTCTGCCTCATGAGGTTCGTCATTGAACTTGCACTCTAAGTACTCCGTTTTGATCCTGCTCAACCTGAAACCTTTAGACTCTAAGAATTATCTCCAAACCTCTAGCCTAGCGTTAACTCCGCCGCGTGTCTCGTTAATCAACCCTATGTCATATGCAAATAGCATACACCATGGCACCTCCCCTGGGATATATTGCGTCAATTCATCCATCACCAAAGCAAATAAAAACGGGCTAAGAGTTGATCCCTGGTGTAACCCCATCACAACTGGGAAGTGTTCCGAGTCTCGTCCAACTGCTCTTACCTGGGTCTTGGCTCGATCATACATGTCCTTAATCACCCTAATATATGCCACACGTACACCTCTAGCTTTCACACATCTCCATAGAACCTCCCTCGGGACTTTATCGTATTCTTTCTCTAGGTCAATAAATACTATATATATCCCTCTTCCTTTCTCTATACTGCTCCACCAATCTCCTAACAAGATGAATGACAATTGTCGTAGATCACTCCGGCATGAATCTCAATTGGTTCTCGGAATTCGACACCCCCCCCCCCCACCGCTTATCCTCATCTCCACCACCCTCTCCCAAACTTTCATCGTGTGGCTAAGCAGCTCGATACCCCTATAGTTGTTGCAATTTTGAATATCACCCTTGTTCTTGTACAACGGAATCATGGTATTCCACCTCCATTCCTCGGGCATTTTTGATTTCCTAAAAATGACATTAAACAACCTAGTCAGTCACTCTATAGCTGCCTTGCCTGTGCTCTGCCATAATTCTACTGGGATCTCGTCATGTCTGGTCGCTCTTCCCCTCCTCATCTTACCATAGCTCCCTCAGCCTCCTCAAACTTTATATGCCTACAATACCCAAAATCACGACGACTCTCGGAGTGCTCTAAATCACCCAACACAATAGTCTTGTGCCCCAATTCATTCAAGAGTCCATGCCACTACTAAGGTTTCCCTGTATATATAAAAAGCCCTTTGCTCATAATCATTAGTGTTGTCTCAATTTGCTTGCCCCCTTTTGATTTAGCTCAATTAATTAATGGCGGTGTGATGATGTGAGTAGATTAATATTTTTTAGAACATCCAAGTGTATATTAATCCATGGTTTTGTGGTGTGGAAAAATGGATTAAAGCATAAAAGATTGCATTAAGTGGGTCTCATTTTTTTTTTTGTAGTTTCTGAAATGTATTTAAATTTTCGAATTGGGAAAATTGGACATTATTTTGGAATAATCCTAAAAGAAAGTAGGCTAAGCATATCCTACTGAGAGTGTAATTAAATTATCCTCCAACTCTAAACAGTCAAGCTCAAGTGTTTGTTATCAAAAGAAAAGCAAACACTAAAAAGACCTTGTCCTCCACTTTGTATTTCAACACGAGTGTATAATTGACTGGTTCAGCTAACTTGGACGGGTTAAAACGGATTCAGAGGGTGCAGTCCAAAATTTGATGGATGAATTGGTAAAGATGAGTTGAGACAAAATACTTATTGAAAAAAACTGGACTTGCTAAAGAAAAGAAATGACGAAGTACTTGCTAAAGAAAAAGATCAGATTGGTCAAACTGGACTAAGTGATAATACACCCCACTCAAGTTTGGATAGTAACTGTATTCTTCAAAACCCTTAGGATATCAAATATATGGTTGGGTCAAATGATTAAGACTTTGCTCATATCATGATGGTTTAGCAATATAGCAATATTTACCTGCTCAAAATGACACAATTAACCAAAAAATGCAATCGCGTGTGTGTGACCAGAAAACCCTTCAGCTTTAAAATTAAAATGACCTTTTTTCTTGAATGAGATTATTATACATGGAGTAGTATCTTCTGTTCATGATATAGAGGTCCTTGAATTTACAGCGGACGTTGAAAGTTGGTGAACATATTTCTTTAAACAGTAGGCGGACATCAAAAGTTACTGCACTTGTGTAAACAGTAGATGCACACAATAAATTCTTTTTTATCTTTCAACAGCTCAATTCCACACACAACTGCGGGAGTACCACAATCGAGGGTATTCCCCTTGGCATCTCTGCAGTCTAACATCTTGGACCACCCCTTTCTAGCCATGTCTTCCTCCTTCCAGCAGAGACATTGTGTTTGAGCAACTGATTATTCAGCTGTTTGAGTGAGTAATTAAGTGATTTATAGGGAATACAGTTGTAGTTTGTAAATGTTATTGCCCACATAAAAAATTATAATTGTCTTGTACGGATCATCACAAGCCCTATTTTATTTCTTAGAAGTTTTTTCTTCTAAAACGTAGATGATTCATGCCCCTTGTGTGGCTTAGTTGGTGTAATATATGGGAATTAAGCTGAAATGTGTTTTCAGCTGTGTATGAAGCATCAAAGACGAGGAGAAAGAAACTATTTAAATATAACTAGTAAAGACCGGTCTTGATTTGAGCATATGCTTATTTGTGCAACAAACTGAAAAGAAATGATACGTGACCTTATCTGACAAGCTAATAGCATTTCACAGCCTATTTCTGATTGCTGATAACAGTGACTGAATCGTGAAACTTAATTTCTGCATGGAAAATTTTATGCATTTCTGCCAGCTTCCTCTTCTTCCCATTTTTATTTGCAATTTGGGTTAAAATTTAAAGAATTTTAGTCATATGTGACAATGTAATTTTTTACATCATTAATGTGATATAATCTGTTATTAGGAAGTTATTTAGTATTATTTTTTAGGGTGAAAATAGTACGAGCTAGCTAGTTTTTGCATTGGTAATTGAAAAATAATCAGCGTTTGCAAAGTCATTGTAAAATAGCTACTATTTTGTTGCAACACGGAAAATTCCAGCATAATATACTGGAGATTGGTGCACATGTGTATGAACTTTCAGCATATTATGCTGGAACTCCAGCTCACGAAAAGTTCCAGCATAATATTCTGAAGATTGGAGCACCTGTGTATGAACTTCTAGCATATTATGCTAGACCAGTATATTATGCTGGACCAATATATTATGCTGGAACTCCAGTATATTATGCTTGAAGTTCATGTGTAAAAAATTCGAACTCCAGTATATTATACTGAAATATTTTTCGGATTTTGAACTGTGTTTTTGTTCAGATTTATCTTTACATGAAAAATGATTAACTTTCGATTACTTTTGAAATTGTGGCTATTTTTCAACTACTACTTGTAAATCTGGCTATTTTTAAATTTTACTTATTAATCAATACTTTAATAAAAAGTTACGTAGTTTCATTTCAAGTGACCTGATGGTTAAAATTTGACATTCTGCGGGTACATTGGGAAATGCTCAATTCATTGTAATAATGCCAACTATGAAAGGTGAGATGAACGTTGATATATCCTAGGTACTTGAAACCTTAGCCATTGCCATCATTTCATGAAGTAAATCCTCAATGAACTTGCATTGTATATCCTTGTTCAACAGGAACTCCTTCCATTTCTTCTGATTTTCCCTAATTAATTTACCTGGCTGCTTGTCAATCTCCACCATCACCATCTCCACAGCTTCCTTAATGTCTTCTTTACCAAAATACCCATCTTCATCTCTCCTATTTACCTCCACCCCAGCTTTCATATCCCCACTCACCAGCTTTGCATTCAGAAACTGGTCACCTTTCTGGGGCAACATAACCACTTGACAGTCATTCACTAGTGCCTCTATCACTGAACTGAACCCTGCATGACATACATAGCAACCTACACTAGTGTGAGCTAATATATGCTGTTGTTGCACCCAACCTGAATGAATAATTCCCTTCTCTTTCACTCTTTCCATAAACCCTTTAGGTAAAGCTCGGTTTAGCTCGGCTGAGAAATCAACATTAGCAGGAAAGTTTAGAACCAGAAAGAAAGGTAGCCCAGTTTGCTCCAGACCTAAAGCCAGTTCTTTGATCTGTTCATCCTT